TCTCTCTCTCTCTCTCTCTCTCTCTCTCTCTCTCTCTCTCTCTCTGTGTGTGTGTGTGTGTGTGTGTGTGTGTGTGTGTGTGTGTGTGTGTGAAGAAGAAGAAGAAGAAGATGAAGGGGAAAAAAAATAAAACAGCAAGGAAGAAGAAGGGGAAAAAAAAAAACAGCAAGGAAGAAGAAGGTTCTCCCTGTGCAAAATTTTTACGACTAACTCCATATCATTCATAAAAAATGGGGAAAAAAAAATACTGCTTTTCTTTTATTCATTTTTATTCTTTTTATTTTTAGCCGATTTTAGTTTTTCATTTTTTTAAATCCGTAAATGAAGTCAGTTTCAAAGGAAAAAAAATGGGGGTTGTATATATCTTTTTTCACGTATTTTTTAACCCTAAAAAAAATCTCTAAAAAAACAGGCCACAAACTGGGCCTCCTTGCTGTGGTCCGTCGCTGTGGCCATGTTGCCCGCGGCCGCGGGTGTCATGTGGGGCGAGTACCCCGCGGCCCTCCATGCAGGTCGCCACCTCTCTCTCTCTCTCTCTCTCTTTTCCGAAAATGAGTGAATCTTCCTCTAACATGCAAAGATATACGAACTTATGTATTGTCTTTTGTGCATGTCAATAGTAACCGTTTTTTTCCCCCTTTTTTCCATGTGTTTTAGAGTAAATCCCGTTTTTCTCTCGTTGCCTTTTGCATTTTGTGTTTTTTTTTTTTTTTTTTGCTCTTTATTCCGTGTTCTTCTCCAAGCGCGTTTGGGAAGTTAAGGCTCGAACTTGATAGCTGGGCCAAGTACTGGTGGTTTAACCTATTCTTTATCACCCTTTCCCTGGCGGATTGACATGCGTTCCAACTCCGGTCTTTACCCGAGTAGAACGTGCGGTCATCATGACTCTATCTAAACTGAAAGTTACCCATATGCCGCTGTATACTGACCGTCCGTTGTTTTCGGTGAATCTCGGCAACATGTGTTGCGTTCGCATTCTTTTTTTCTTTTATTTATTCAGGCTAAACATCTGGTCCTGAGCTGTTCTATTCCGAGCATTTCTTTATTTATTCAGGCTAACCATCTGGCCCCCGCGGCTCTTGGTCTGGGGCTGGTCGTCGTTTTGTTCTGGACTCGCACGCAAAGTATTCCATCTTTCGTGGACATTACTTTTGGATGGTCAAAACAGGTGAGGATGGAATGGTGGTCTAATCTTTCATTGGCATTCTATCCCCCTTCTTCCTCGCGGCATACTACGTATGTACGACACCTACCGTCTTCACCCGCACAGAACGCACGGTCGTCATAGCCGCGTATGTGGTACTATTTTCAGTCCAGATACAGTTAAAATAACCGGGCGTTCTATTCGGGTGAAGACGATAGGGCGAGATCCCACTGTAGCAAAGACGACTGGATTTCGAGCCTATATCTGAAGTGTGTTTGTGGAGGGGTGCAGACAATCGGGATTCATCTGCGGTTCTGCATCTCTGCTTAGAACCTGCCCAGATTCAGGCAGTTTATCAAATCCTCTATGTGGCAACCGGCGGTATGGAGTCGCCTTGGCGAGCCAGTCCGCTGGTGCACCGCAGTTGGTATTATTGGGCCTCACTTAGGGCATCGCCACACCACTCTCGAAACGTGCAAAATGAGAATGAACTTTTCGCTAGAACATGCCCAGATGTGCCCGCCACATTTTTGTTGTTTTCACATTTCGACAGTGGTGAGGCGAGGCCCTTGCTGCTCACCATTTGCCCAAAAGACGAAAAATATGGCGGTGTACCTTTGCACGTTCAAGCAGAGAATTCATTCGCCTTCTGCACATTTGATGAGTGGTGGAGCTAGACCCATTCTCGGGCGTTGACAGTTTTGAGCGCTTTTCGGTAATTTCAAGAACGGCCAAACAACGCCCGACAGAGAAACGTTTTTGGTAAATTAACGCTCGATAACATTCGGTCGCAGTGCTTAACTGTATAAAATCTAACGAACTGAGGGCGTACTCGCACTGCCGTCTTCCCCCGAACACAACGCACCCTCATTTTGACTGTATCTGGCCGGAAATATAGCTCGTATACATTCATTTTTAGGGTGCGTTATGTTCGGGGGAAGACGGTAGCACTCTCTTAAATGTATGTGACCGCATTTACGGCCCAGCCTGCATGCATCTGGCTGCTATTCCGTCCAAAATTAAGTGAAAAAGTGCCAATGTGAGTATGCCCTGAGATGATTAGATCATAGACAAAAGGACGATTGCAACGCAACATGCCGGGGACAATCCGAGAACCCAAGAAAAAAGGACTCGCGCGCGTCAAGTATACTCCTCAAGAAAAAAGGACTCTCGCGCGTCAAGAAAGACCGCCTACATAACCAACGTCGTTCAGGCTAAGGAGTAGCCACAGCGGGCCTCGAACGCATCGCCTACCACATTCTACCACGTCCACGTGAGCTGCTGTAGCTCTTCTTGTGTCTTTTCCATTTCCATTTTCTTTTTGTGATACATGAGCGAAGCTCTTTCAAGTTGGCTTTTGGGGAGAAAAAGGTACTGTTCCCAAAAAAAAAAAAAAAAAAAAAAAAGGTACTGTCAGGTGCAGGGGTGGTCTGAAATTCCATCCACATCTCACACACAACCCCATCTATTCTTGTGTGTGTGGKGGRGGGGGGGGGGGGGGGGGGGGGGGGGGGGGAGATTGAAATTCCACCATACCAGGATTCCAGGAACCTAACTACACGTCTTTTCGAAAGTAAGGGCCTCGCTGCACTACTCTCCACATGCACAAAAGACAAAAAAGACGGCGATGTACCTTTCCATGTTCTAGGGGTGGATTCAGTTCCATTTTGCACATTTGGAGCGTAGTGCAGCGAGGCCCTAAGAGAGCCCTGCGTGCCCTCGCACGTCAGCCGCTTCTTCCCTGGAAAAGTAACCGTCTTCACCCGCATAGAACGCCCGGTCATTATCCCATGTATGTAGACTGAGAGTCGCCCCAAAAAATGCACCTATACTAACCAAGCGTTCAATTCGAATGAAGACCGTCGTTCGTTCTGATGTCGAAAAGCACATATAAAAAAGAAGGGCGACTAACAGGAACCTTGAACCTCGTCCGTGGTGCCACTTGGGACCGTGGTCCATGGTCCCACCACTTACCCGGATTTTCCACCCCTGACTGTCGATTAGAAAAATCAACGACCACGAAACGAGGGCTTGGGGCAATGGGAACCTCGCCCGGCGAACCCGATCTATAAGAGCGCAGAGACTTACTGTATGTGCTGCCGGTGGACCAGTCGGCGGGAGAGTACCTCGACCAGGAGGGAGAGCAGTATTGGGAGAGGAAAACGGAGAAAGACGAGACGAGTTTAATGCTCTGTAAAGCGGCAAAATCTTCGAACACACGAACAGTCCGATACATACACACATCAAACTCAAAGCAACAACTCGAAACTCAATTCGCCTTCCGAGTTTCGACTGTCGACAAAAGCAGCGCTACGGAAGCTTGGAATAATTTAAAACACCTCAATCAAATTCAACTGTCTGTCAGACTGCCTCTACTTTGCAACAAGGTGGTCTATTATCTATAATGTCAGTGGGAGAAAAACTTCGCTGGGCGTTCGGTGTGTACCGTTTTCACCCGATAGAACGTCCGGTGATTATCGCGGCATCTGACTGTCAGTGAGTGAAAGTTGGCCCAATTAACCAGCGGGCCTAGCTAATAAGTTGGTACGCCCAAAAAAAAAAAAAAAAAAAAAAAAAAAAGTTGGTACGCCCATGAACTTTTGAAATACACACCCAGGCTCGAATCCACTGCAGACCAGGAGGTAAGGAAGAAGGAAGGGAAACAGAACGGTTGCCACAAATACAGTTATAATCACTGGGCATTCTACTTGGGTGAAGATGGTAGTAAGGACTGGAGATTCCGTGATTCCGTGAGGGACCTTACCTCCCATATGTGAAGCTTGGAATAATTGAGAACATAGTATGCGTGGGAGAACTTGACACGGCTTACGTCTGGAGGACAGAGGGGTTGAATCTCTCTGACGCTGCATCCTCGCTGCTCAAGAATTTTCCGATGACTCACGGGAACGTCGGGCAACACTGCCACCACCAGCGGATAAGTTGACTTGACCAATCGAAGGCTCGTCGCCAAAGCCACCACCCCCTTCACGTAGTTTCCGTCTCCTGCCAAGAAAGTCACGTACGCATTGCGCGCCGTCTTAAAAACTGAGGAGGAGGAGGAGGAGGAGGAGTGGGAGAAAGCCCCATTTTCAATGCAGCTCTTGCTGTCATTGGGCGCCGTCTTCAAAATTGAGGAGGAGGAGGAGGAGGAAGAGGAGGACGAGGACGAGGAGTGGGAGAAAGACCCATTTTCACTGCAACTCTTGCTATCATTCCCTCCGCCAGACGCAGCGGTGTTAGGAGACGCACCGTTCTCTCCTAAGAACCTACCCATGCTGCTCTTCCTTCTGACAGCCTTGCCGTTGCCTTCACAAGGTCACAGAGGGACAGACAGACAGACAGACAGGCAGAGAGGGACTCGCTGACTTCAGCCTAGGCAACAACGGTTACATCCGCACTAGCTGCGTTCAGAAGGCCAGACAGACACAGAGAGAGAGAGAGAGAGAGAGAGAGAGAGAGAGAGAGAGAGAGAGAGAGAGAGAGAGAGAGTCTCACTGACTTCAGCCTACTAGCCTAGCCAACATCGCTTATGCCCTCCGTCTCCCTCCTGTGCACATAGCTTGATGCGGAGCGCATCCGGAGAAAGAACGAAGGCGATAGTTTCAAATACCCGCGCATTCCCCTTAGGAGGAGGACATCTCCGCTACACGCAGAGGCGGGAACAATCCCAAAAGCAAAACATGGAAGCGCCCGATTGGGGCAACGACTACGACTACCGCACTTGGCGTCGACGGTGGCGGCTGAGAGGGCAGGCGCCACTCAAACCGACGACCGTCGCTGTGGATATCCTGCCGGTGGCGGCTGAGAAGGCGCCACTCAAACCGACGACCGTCGCTGTGGATATCCTGCAAATCTGCACCGTAGTTACTACAGACATCTTAGGTAGACCGTCATTGTGTTTTGGTGGACTTGACTTTGTGGAGACTGCAAGGTTCGAGCCTGCAAGGGAATCCCGCACACACCTCACTCCCCCAGTGTTCCCGCAGTGGATAACACTTCGAGGCCATCGTACCACTACCACGGGCAACATTCCATTACCGTTTCCATTACCATGTATACCCGAATAGCATTATAGCTGTATCTGGGCCAACGTTCATACTGAATGCAGTGCTCATGACCGGGCATTCTATTCGGGTGCACACCGGTAGCATACGGTCAGCGAAGCGATTCGTCGACCTGGAATCCCCTGTTGAAAACCAACAACCGAAAATGAGGGAGCGACCCATGCAGCCACTACCATAGCGGTAGGGCTATAGCGCTGCAGTAGCGGCGGCGGTAGGAAATCGCAAAGTGGCGACCCGTGCCTCTCAGGCACGCGTCTCCACCAACGCGGTGGTGGGTAGGCTGAACGCTTCTTCGTCGTCGGTGCTCCCAAGGCTGTAGCTATCGACTGGAGGACGAAGAGGTCGGGCATGAAGTCAGCGGAGAGGTGACCAACGTGGATTCCCACCTATGGCAAGGTTAAGGTGGCCGGCTGCCGTTCCGACAACTTGACCCTCCAACGTCTACCTGCTGCTCCTCGGCTTATGTACCTCCTGGTCCTCCTCCATGAAGCATCACCTTTCCGTGGTCAGAGGTATAGCGCTCGAAGTTTTGACGAGGGGCGGCGGATGAACGGGATCGAGGGTGGGGGAGTGTGCAGAGGGGTGCGCATACCCAAATGTTCACAGAGCGCCACCCAACGTGGGTGTGCGCCCCAGGGGCTGGGCACACGGGCGGCGTTGATGAGTATCTGGGACGTGTGCCATCCGATAAAAGGGTGGCCTTTTTTTCTCTTTTGTTTTTGTTTCTGCCTCTTTCCTTCTGTTTTTGTTTCTTGGGTGTCGTTTTGCTTTGTTTTTTTTATTCCATTTTCTTGCGCGCCTTTTGCTGTTCGCGCGCTGTTGTCGTTTTCGTTTTTGCACGCGCGACTTTTCCTTTTCGTAGCCGTCTCAGTCAGCGAAGGATTTTTTTTTTCCCCCTGTTTCCTTTTGTGGCTTTCCGCGCTGTCGTTTCAGTACCCGTGGTGTGCGTGTACCCGCTTTCCGTGCATGTTGTTGTTTCAGTACCCGTGATGCGCGTGTACCTGTGACACTCAAGAAAACATGCTCAGGAAAAAGACAAAAAGAAAAAGAAAAGCCAAGTTGTAGATGTAACCCACTCACACTCACACACACACCCAATAATATTAAATCTTGAAATTCAGTGCTGATTGTTGTAGTTGGGGTTTGAACCCATGTACTGATTTCATAAATCTAACTGCTTGATGAGATAACTGTTGAGGCAGATTAGGTGCCTCTGTGATTTTGGGGACCGTTTTTCTTTTTAAGTGCATCCCATGTCAGACAGCTGCCACGTGAGGATCTGTCTGTGTGTCCAAACCCTGACCTTGCAGAGTGGAAAAACCGGCCGAATGGCAGAAATGGAAAATGTGTCAAATCGCCGCCATAATGCATTTTGCAACCGAAGATCACAATGAAATCTATGGACTCCAAATTTTTCATATTTTTTCTTATATTCTTTTGAGCAAGGTTGCCAGGCCGAACGTACGGAGGCCCCTAACTGACCCCCGAACGTTCGGGCGTTCGGATCCCCGTACAGGGCCCGAACCTGAAGGGGTTCGGACCCCGCAAAAAATGATTTTGACACCTAAATATTATTAGTTTTTTCTGATTTTGTTTTTGCGCATTCTTTGTAATTTAAGGTGTCTCCCTCTTAATTTTGAAGCCATTCTGTTCAGCCAAACAAAAATGAAAAATAGGCAAAAATGGTGGTGTCAAAACTTGCTTTCCCACTCACCAATTTGCTTTTTTCTCTCTTTTCACTTTTCGTTTTTCCTTTATTTCGGGGCATGAAAAAAAATATTATTTTTTTAAACTTTATTTGTAGATTCTCTATTATGTAAGATAAACATATATAAATTTTCATGGCATTTGTCACAGCCAAAAAAAAAATGAAAAATCACCAAAGATGGCGGTGTCAAAAACGTGCTCGCCCACTCAATAATTTCATTCTCGTTTTATTGTTTCTAATTTTCATTATTCTTATTTATTTTTAGTATTTGATTTTTATTTCAAATTTGGGAAAGACTTTGGATGTGACGTTGAGGCAAATGTTCTTCAGTTCATTCTTCTGCATAACATTTTTTTTTCAGGTTTTTTGGAATTCGTTTTTTTTTTTTTTTTTTTTTTTTTGGTCCATTTGGCCGAACGCGTCGAGAGCGGGTGCCGAACGTTCTGACGTTCGGGCGTTCAGCCCGTTCTGAACGCCGCAACCCTGCTTCTGAGCTCAAAAAATCACAGAAGATGCAGGACCTGTGTAGCATCGTATTCGGGTTCGGTGACCGAACCCGACCGTTTTGGACCGAATGCGAATGAGCGCCGAAACTCTCCGAACGCGAACATAAAAATATTTAAAAAATAATAATAATATATTCTCCAAAAAATCTGAAAACAATATATGTTATGTAAAATAATAATACAAACAACATTTGTCGTGGAGGTATGCTCAAATTCGTAATACAGCTCGAGTTAAAAATAAAAAACCATAAAAAATAATTTTATTTATTTATTTGTTTTTTTGAATATGTTCGGCCAAACACATTCGGGTGGCGTTTGGCCGAACACCCAAACATGTTCTGATGTTCGGAAAAGCTCCGAACATGTTCGGTGTGCTACACAGTGCAGGACTTTTCTGTTGGCCGAAACATGGCATAACAGCGAAAATGGAAAAATTGACGAATTTGCGCGGTGGTTATTTGACAGTCGAAATGATTTTTTAAGTTTTTAAAAGTATTTTTATTGGAACGATCACGACTTGATCTACAGACCCTCCAATTTTCACAATATTTAACACATTCTCTTAACCGTGAAATATCACTGAAGTTGGGGTACATTTTACATCGACTCACACGTCGAAGAGTGACAAAAATGAAAAATGCACCGAATCGACGCGGCGGCCATTTCAGCATAAAAAAGATATATTTTTAGTTTTTTCAGATGTTTTTCGTAGGAAGCTCGGGACCTAATCTACGGATGCTTAAATTTCCAGGATTTTCAACGGATTTTTCTGAGCTAAAAAAATCACCGAAGTTAGGGTACTTTTTTTAGTGGCCAACACGTCACGGATTGGCAAAAATGGAGAATGAACCGAATCGACGCGGAAGCTATTTCAAGGTCGGACATATTTTTCTTTGTTTTTTTTATATTTTTTCTAGAAAGATAACGATTTAATCTACAGGTTCCTAAAATTTCGGATTTTTTAATTATTAGTTTCAGAGCAAAAAATCATCAAAGTTATGGTACTTTTTAGTTGTGGGACTGGACCCGCCGGTAAGTTGCAGTAACCAACAGTCGCTGCCCTTCCAAAAAACCTTGCCTAACTCACCGGAAGCAGGTTTTTGGGTTTAGGGGCCTGGTGGTTTAATGAGTAGGGGAGTAAGGTCCACTGTCTCCACGGGAGTTGAGGCTGGCTAAGGGCCCCCCGGGAGTTGAAGCTGGCTAAGGGCATCACGACACCACTCTCTTTTGTTTGTTTGTTTTTTCGACAAAATGCTTCAATCTATTCAATGCATATGGGAAGCCGCACGTGTTGTCAACCTGTACATTTTCATCACCACACCACTCTCAAAATGTGAAAAAGATAAAAGTGCGGTGGGTGCATCTGTTCATGTTTTAGCGAAAAGTTCATTGTACATTTTGTGCATTTTTCAAGAGGTGTGGCGATGCCCTAATGGGCCCACAAAGTCTCTGTCTCTCTCTCTCTGTCTCTCTCTCTCTCTCTCTCTCTCTCTCTCTCCCCGCCCCCTTTTTTTTTTTTTTTTTTTTTNCCCCCTTTTTTTTTTTTTTTTTTTGTCGACTTTGCAATAACATGTTTGAAGTTTCGCAAAAAAAAAATGTACATCCTGTCAGTGCTCACACGTAACACACACACACACACGCATAGGTCTGTTCTGCATGTTAAAAAAATAAGGAAAAAAAATCAACTATGCTACTCTGTGTAGCATCGTGTTCCGGTTTGGTGACCGAACTCGAACGTTCGGAACCGAACGCGAACGAGCGCCGAAACTCTCTGAACGCGAACATAAAAATATTAAAAAATAATAATAATAAAGTTCTTCAAAAAATCTGAAAAACATATATGTTATGTAAAATAATAATACAAACAACTTTTACTTGGAGGTATGCTCAAATTGGTAACCAAACTCGAGTTAAAAATAAATAATAAAAAAATATATTATTATCTTATTTTTTAATATGTTCGGCCGAACACATTCGGGTAGCGTTCGGCCGAACACCCGAACATGTTCGGACGTTTGGAAAAGCTCCGAACATGTTCGGTGTGCTACACAGGTGCTACTGAGCACTCTACATGTGCGTGGA